GCTATTTGAAGGTTATCACTGGGTCCGCCATTTCGAATTTCAAAACATAAACTTTTACTAATCAACCGCATTACTCATATTGCATAGGTTCACATGAGTATGCACTGTCTGGAGGTCATTAATTTCATGGTGTGACGGCCATATTGGATTTCAAAATGGCTATGAATATCGATTTTCAGCTTGAATTTTGGACTAACCCAGATTCCAGATTCCAAATTCCATACCTCTCATCACCACATAGAGATTCTTATTCTTTGCATATGAAGTTCTTACTCCTGATAGTGCACAAAGAGAAGGCAAACTCAGGAGAGCACGCAAGCGGTGGTCGGATATGTCGGATATGGCTGAAATTGTTCACATAAGTATTGCCCCAAAGACAATTTCAAAAATATATCATGGCCTACTAAAGGGTGATACGGTCAAAATTTGGTCAAGGGAAAACGCGTGTAAATCGGTGAAATCGTTTATTTAAAAAATCAAATTAAATTTCTTTTTCAAGTTCAATTAGTATAAAATTCAGGAAAAATATTCAGTTAGGCTTCCGCTTTTCCAAATCCGAATTGCCGGGCCTTACGCTTGACCCCTGCCATCAGATTTTGTACAGCCACCTTGTCCACCTTCTTCGCCGCAGAAAGCCAGTTTGCCTTGAACTGCTGCTCGCCCTTAGCAGTTTTTTTGGTCTTCTTTAGGTTCCGCTTGACAATAGCCCAGTATTTCTCAATTGGGCGGAGCTCTGGCGTGTTGGGAGGGTTCTTGTCCTTGGGAACCACCTGCACGTTGTTGGCGGCGTACCACTCCATGGCCTTTTTACCGTAATGGCAAGATGCCAAATCCGGCCAAAACAGTACGGAACAACCGTGTTTCTTCAGGAAAGGCAGCAGACGTTTATTCAAACACTCTTTCACGTAAATTTCTTGGTTGACAGTCCCGGAAGCTATGAAAATGCTGCTTTTCAAGCCACAGGTACAGATGGCTTGCCAAACCAGATATTTCTTTGCGAACTTTGACAGTTTCATGTGCTTGAAAACATCTGCTACCTTTCCCCTTCCTTTTGCCGTATAAAACTCCTGTCCCGGAAGCTGCTTGTAGTCGGCTTTGACGTAGGTTTCGTCGTCCATTACCACGCAGTCAAACTTCGTCAGCATCGTCGTGTACAGCCTCCGGGATCGCGCTTTGGCCGTCGTATTTTGTTTATCATCGCGATTTGGAGTCACTACCTTCTTGTAAGTCGATAGTCCGGCTCGTTTTTTGGCTCGATGCACGGTTGTAGACGATACACCCAGCTTATTTGCGGCATCGCGGAGAGAGAGGTTAGGGTTTCGCTTGAAACTACCGGCAACTCTCTTTGTCGTCTCAGCGGCTTCCGGTTTTCGATTTCCCCCCGATCCAGACTTCCTGGCTGTCGACAAACGTTCCCCAAACACTTTAATTACATTTGTAACGGTTGATTTGGCAACTTTTAGCGATTTTGCCAACTTTGCGTGCGAGTAGCTCGGATTTTCGCGATGCGCGAGCAAAATTTTGATACGCTGCTCTTCTTGCTTGGACGGCATTTTGACAACTGAAGAGTGAATTCCAAAATCAAAATAGGAGCAACATTCTACACACACACACCTTCAAAATGAGGGGTGTTCAGGTTTTTTAAATGCAAAATTGAAAGAAATACGTCAAGTTGATATTGACCAAATTTTGACCGTATCACCCTTTATGAAAAAAAAAGAACCTAACTATTTCGCCTGAAGAGAAAAGTTATAGAACTATTCAAATTATGAAACTTTGTTGAAGGTACCAAATTTCTAAGTCTAATAGCTTTGGATATACGGACCGTTTTCATTGGTTACCCCTTTTAAATTTAGTATTAAATTATTACCTTTTCATATAATAATTTATCATGCAAATAATGTTCTAGACAAATGTACACAATGTATAACCGTATGTTTTTGCTGAAGACAGTATGTGGCTTTGTTCATTCCTCGCAAAGTTATAGCACTTTTTAACTTTCTTGTACCCTAAAGGGTGTCCACGGTTAAATTGCATCACTTTAAAAAAGCTGCAAGATTTTGCTCTTTGGGTTAATTTTAATGAAAGTTTGGGTGAGATGGCCTCAGCGTGTATTGTTTACACTGCGTGAGTTTCATTGCGAAATTTCTAGTAGTTTTGAAAATGGAGTCGAAGGAACAACACACAGGCGGTATGGCAGCAATTTGTTCGTGCGGAAAACGGAGCAAGCCTTTCGTAACAACTACAACCGTAAATGGCCAAGCAGTCTTGGAAGTGGTCACCGTAGTCGACATATTTTCTGTGATAATCGACTGCCTTTGCTTCCGACACTTGCAAAACAAGCTATCAAATTACAGTACCAAACTAAAATGTCATATGACAGGCTCTGTCATACGACACTGTTGCCGAGGACCGTCACGAATGTATGTATTTTAGTTTCTCTCATAATAAGAGCTCCTGATGTTGTGCTTGTGTGAATTCTTAAAATAGCAACCTACGATGTCCTAGTAATAACATTTTTGATCAGAACTGGTTTAATTTACACCAATTTGAGGAATTAGAACGAAATCACACATGTCATATGATAGTTATTTGAAGATTTTCTTTTTGCTCGAATGTTATTCTACCGTTTGTTATGTGTGAGGAAGACGACGTTAGAGCATGAGTGTACGAATACAAACGGACTGTCGTGCACGACAACAAAGTGAGTGTCGTAAAAAACGTCAACAGTTTCAACCCCTGTGGCCAAGTATACATGAATGAGTCCTCAAGAAACGACTGCATCCATTTCTCTAATCACACAACGTTCCTACAATTGTTTTGCCCGGATCTAGCCTCTTGTCACTACTCCAAGGACGTTCTGGAGTGGTACTAGACGAATGGGGTCAATTTCGTGCCGAAGGATCTCAATCCCACAAACACACCGGAGTTGCGACCGGTCGAAAGATACTGGGCTATAATGAAGCACGAACTCCGTAAGCATCCTAAAGTTGTCACTACAGAGCAGGAAATATTGAAATCATGTGGGGGTTGAAAGCAGAAAAAAAATTAGATTCAACCATTGTATGAATCCTTATGGATGGAATTAAGAAGAAAGTTCGAGCATTTGGACTTGGTGAAGAAATATAGTGAAATAAAGATACGTAAATTAAGCTTATAGGGGAAATGGATGTAATGTCGGCCTAAATGTCCTCAATTTGGGCCCATACATAAATTAAGCAATCGACTAAATTTTCAATAGCGACCAAAAATATCCATTAGTACCGTCCCCAATGATGCGTTTATCTTGATAAAATTATTCAAAAGCAGATTTTTAGACATGGGCCCAATCCTAGATCCATAGGCCAACATTAGAGCCATTTCCCCTATATAGTATTATATTTCCTGACAATTTCATGAAAATCGGTTGAGATACTTATTTTTGGCGAGTACTTCTAAGTGATGCAATTTAACTGTGGACACCCTTTATTTTGACTGGATATAGGGGAGAAGGGGGCAATCCGGGACACAATATCAACTAGAATTTTTAAAGCATAGACTTTGTATTACAAAGTAGTACATGTTTGGTTAGCGCCAATTCATAAATGAGTGAAAACGAGGGAAACAAGTGGCAAGGGAAATGTGGCGATGGTAGTGGATGGTGTATTGTCGAAAAACAGAAGGAGAAGAGGAAAATACAGAAGAAGAAGAAAGAGATGAAGAAAGAAGAGAAGCAGATAGGTGGGGAGAGAAATAAGGGAGACACTGAGATTTTTTTTAAATTTTGACAACCAACTGAATAGTTTAGTTCCGTTTCCCATACAAACTTTAAATTTTCCCACAAATCCAGATCGCAACCATTTGACAATGTTCTTCAATGATCGATCAAATTTGACAATGTTCTTGGGGACCTCAATACGGGTTGAAAAAGCAGTGGTGAGCAGGGGTTGTGATCCACTATACACACTTGACCCACTCTAGTATCCATAGCGTCCATCGAGTAAATTGGAATACACTTTGAGGGGGATTCCTGGGAAATTTGGAGGAATATTGGTTGGTGTTGGTGTTGAGTACTTGGCACTGATGAAGTATGCAAGTAGTAGACGAAATACGCGTATCTGTCAAAAGATAAGCAATTATAACGGAATTTAAAGCAAATAAACCAACCCACTCAAAGCTCTTCATAAAGGGATTCCGTTAAGAGGTTCGGCAAATTTAAAGGATTATTTCAAGGGTGTTCAAAAGGGTGTAAAGCTGGGGAGAATCCCAATGGAGTTTTCTGAAGACTTGCAAGGAATTGTGAGGAGAACATCAATTAGAATTCTAGGGTAGTTCTGAGTAAAATTCCAAGATGATTCTGAGAAGATTTCTACAATGCAATGAAAATTCCAGATGAATTTTATGGAGAAATCCAAAAGAACACTGAAAAGAATTTAAAGGTAATTTTGTGAGGAATTGCTAGCAAATTCTTAAGTCAAGGGTGACTAGAATTTCAAATTAATACTATGAAGAATGCTAATGAATTGTGATGAGAGTTACAAGGTTGTTCTGAGCAAAATTTCAAATATTTCCGACGGTTATATTGAGTCGTCCGGATCATGTTGACCGCACTCGGACGGACAGAGGTGGATATAGGCTAGAATCTGATTTGAGCCCCACAACCCATCATGTCAAATCTTGTGATAATTCAAGTACAAGGTGATTGGTAGTCAAATTGAATACTCAAGACCATTAATTTCTTTTACTGGTGCAACGTCGTTCTTGATTTGACCAACTGTCCACCATTAGCTACACCTGAATATGTTGTAGATGCCGCCAGGGTGCCAAAATTTTCCATATTCTCAAGCGATTCTCCAAATTAGATTGAGACTGTTTCCGACCACCTACAACTTTTTTGAAAACCATGAAAGCTTCTCCAGATTAACCAAATATCATCTCATTTATTTATTTATTTAGAACTGCAAATTTTCCCCGATCAAACGTTCAAACTTCAAATTACTCAAAAACCAACCAATACTCACTTATCTGGAACTGCTCCAGCGCGCACTGCAGATTCGTGAGCGAGGCTTGGTTCTTGTGGTCCCGATCGTCGGCTGAGTTCACCTTGGCCACCAGCTCGTCCCGCTGCTGCTGCAGAAGGTAATACTGCGCCTGCAGTGTCTCGGCATGCTGATTCGCACGAATACTGCACGATGCAATGCGATAAAAATAAAAAAAACAAGAACCAAAAACAGATGAGTCAGCTGATTGCCCCGGTACTTACGACTTTTTTATGACACGAAACGGACGTAATTATAATTGCGGGCATGCTCAATTAGACGCGGACAACAATGCGCCCTCAATCATTTTCGCATGTGCTGTTGCTACGGTAACCTTCCGAAGAAACATGCGAACACACTACACATGCGAGAAAAGAGATTGAGGTTAGAGTTTTACAAAAAGGTAGCTCACCTTGCCGACGTCAGTGCGTTGGTTGACTTCTTCACCTCATCCTCTAGTGCTTGCAGCTTTCTCTGGGTCTCCTCGTAGCGTTGCTGAAGTTCTACCGTTTCCTGGGTGTGAGCTTCTCCGACTTCCAACAGATGCTGCCTCAGTCGATCCAAATCCTTGGCTAGGTTGTTCTTCTGCTCCAGCACTTCCTGTTTCTCCTGCTGCAGCATCTTCTGGTTGTTTTGCTCGATCAGAAGATTGTTGGTCAGAATTTCGGATTTCTCCCGCAGGAACTGGATTTGATCGGCCATCTTTTCGAAGTCTTCGAGTTTCTTGATCTGCGACTCGAATGAGGTTAGTTTTTCGCGGAGTGCAGGACACTCTTGGCATTCGGTGGGAGGAATGGGTTCGTTCTTGGCTGCTAGCTCTGATTGCAGCAGTTGGCTTAGCCGCTGAATCTCGGCATGATACTGGACATTTTCGTTGTGCTTTGTCGTTATCAACTGAACGAGGTTGTCTTTCTGTTGGGTTAGCGTTTCGATCGTGCGACTCAGTTCTGCTTGCTTAGCCGTGTTGACCTGGGAATGTTCTTCCAATTCTGCATTTAACTTGTCCAATTCTTCCAGTTTTAGGTTCAGTTGGGCTTCGATTTCATCTTTCTCCACTGCCAAAACAGTAGCTTTCTGTGACTCCGCTTCCAACCGGTCTTGCATAATTTTCAAGCCTTCCTGAACGGAGCTTTCACTGGACAGCTGCATTGTATTTAGTTCTGCTGTTTGCCTCTGCAAGTCTTCTTGCAGCTGCTTGATCACAGATTCCTTCGCTTCCAGAGATTTTCTCATCTCGGAAAGCTTACCCTCGAATGCTTTTACGTTGTCAACTGAGTTCTGCTGTAGTTGTTGCAGTTTTAACACTAGACTAGCATGATCCTCATTAATAGTCGTCAACTGAAATTTGAGACTTTCCGTCTCCGCTTTGTAGGCGTCAATCTCACTGGAATCTTCCGGTGCCGTGTCCCGAGATTTCGACTCATTAATCTCAAACAGTAGGTTACTCTTCTCGTTCTCCAGCGTCTCCATCGCTAGCTGCAGATCCTTGACGTTCTTGGTCTTCTCTTCCAGAGTCTTCTGGTAATTTTCAACCTGCATTTCCAGTTCTTCCCTCTCTTCAAGCACTTCCTCAAGCTTCTTGTTGATCTCCTTGTACTCATCGTCTAAACTTTTGTTCAACCTGCTGCAATCTTCCAGTTGCTTCTCCAGGATAACAATGCTATCCTCTGCATTCTCGTTGATCGTCTCCAGCTTCTTGCATTTCAGGTTCTCAATTTCTGCGATCATCATGTCGTTGTTCTTCATCAAGTTGGCACATTCCTTCTCGTACTCCAGCAGATCCGCTTCGAGCGTATCCTTGCTGTGTTGAATTCGGGAATTTTCCGCCTTCAGGAAGTTCAGCTTGTCCTGCCATTCTTTTTCTTTGGCGTCCATTTGTACGGAATTATCGATGATTACGCTTTTCAGTTCGTTCTGCAACTCACTAACCTCGCGCTGCAGCTGCTGGACCTGCGATTCAGTCACGCTCTGCTGCTCTTTTGCTTGCAATAGGTCCCTGTGTTCTTGGAGTTTCATCTGTAAATCTTTCTCAATTTTCTGCAGCTCAAGATTATCCTCCTGCAGTCGATCGCAGTCGGTTTTCCATCGTTCGGATTCGGACTTCATCTGGTCCAGCTTTCGACGAAGGTCTTCAATTTCCGTTTGATCTTCCTTCTGCAGTGCTACGAACGCTTCCTCTTCGGCTTTCCGTTTGAATTCGTCCAGTTCCGATTTCATGTTGGCTTTTTCTACCTCGACTTCACTGAGTTTCTGACATTTTGCTCTCGTCTCTTCAAGGTTGTTCCTAATCTGTTCGTTGTCGTCCTTCAGGGTTACCAGCTGTTCATCCAATTCTGCCTTTTCTGCGACTATGATGTTAATTCGTTGTTCAGCTTCCTCTAGTACGCGTCGAAGCCGATCTTCCGCTCCAGCTAGACTTTTCTTCAGCTCTTCAATCTCTCCTTCCAACCCCGCTACGACATCCACATTGTCAACTACAATCCTTTGCAGCTCGGACTTCAACCTAACACTCTCCTGACAGGATCCCACATAACTCTGCTCCAGCTTGCCATACTTCACCTTCAATTGTTCCAATTCTTGCGTAATAGCCGCCTCGCCGTGCATCACCCTCAGGTCCTCCTCCAACCGTGTGCATTTCTCCAGCAGTCCCTTCTTAGCACCCAACAAATTTTCCACAACCAGCTCATGCTGTCGATCGAGTTCCTCGATGTTCTCGTTCAACTCCCGGTTTTCGTTACTAACCTGCGTGAGTTTCTCGTTGAGCAGTGCATTCTCCAGCTGTTGCTTCTTCAACTGATGCCGGATGTCCCCCAACTGTCGGTGTAACCGTTCGATGATTTCCCCCTCGGAGGCGGGAGCCTCCAGCGGGATCGTGGTAAGATCCGTACCCGATCGTGGCGAATCATTTTCGTCGTCCTTCTTCGACGAAGACGATGTGGATGAAACGTTCTGCTCTGGATCCCAGAACCAGCTGTCCTCAAGTGCGGACGCCGCTGAAGGTGCTGTAGTAGCCGCTGCCACCGCCGTCGATGTACCCGGACCATGTGGATCCTGAACCTGGAAGACAATCGAGAGAGGGGAGAAATGCGTTAAAATTGTATACTATGTAGTAGCCGGTGATCGGAGTTAGCCTGCTTGGATCATTTTGATATGATTTCAATAATGTATTAGTCGACCATTCTTTTCCTGTGACTCATCGCGCACAAGAGGAAACGAAATAGGCATCTCATTCTTCACCAGACCTTATCGCTCGCGGCAAACATAGAAAAAGCATTCACACGACAAATATTTGCAATTTATGCAGATAACGGCGGGACATGAATCAGTTCGCTATAAATGTCTCAAGTATCTAACCATACATCGAGGGCTTTCGCAAAACCACGCCCTCACGGAGATGATGAAGGACAGTCGTCGCATGGAATGAAGATGTCACAACTTGCGTCCCCTTCACGGTTTCTCGTTGCGTTGTAATCTCATAACCTTCACCTGTCAAAGCCTGCCGTCCGTCGTCTTACGTCAATCGGCAATTTGTCAATTTTGCAGTGTAATTCCCCCTCGTTGGAGCAGCCATCTTTGATGACAAACAGATTCCACTGCCTGCCGCAGCCTACTGCACAAAATTGCATGTTAGCGTCCAAAGTGGGTGAGGGGACTTTCGTTCCACGGTTCGGCGAGGAAAAATCGTTTGTGTATGATTAATGACAACCTATTTAGAAATTGAATAAACGCTGCTCTGCCGGTTAGGTTGGAGTTGATAGCGCTGCGACTTAATCCTGCTCAGGGTCTATAATCATCCGAATTCGTCAAGCGTTGCAGTAACCAGTATATTGAATGGTCGGTTGCTCGCTGGATTTAATAAATCACAACTGACCTTCCACGGAAACTTTGTGTGTGTGTGTCCCGCTTTATGAATATACAAGCGACCGGCGATATGATTGTCATCATCATCATCATCATCATCGGTGTCGTCGTCGTCGTCGTCGTCGTCGTCATCGTCCAGAACGATCGTAACTGCTAAGCTTCGAGATTGTCACACATGTCACTGTTTCACATGACCGTACGGTATCGAGTCCTCATCAGAAAACATCGAACCGACCTACACAGAGCATTCTATTTGTGCGATTGCATAATGCCGTGCTAGCGAAGTAGGCGGCGGCGAAGTCAACTTGGATTATCTCCCTCCCCCTCCCACCGGATGACCCTTTGCGTTCCGAGTTCAATTGCGTTCATTCATAAATGGGCGGTTTTATGGAGCCTGAGGGAATTCAGAAGGTCTCGTCCAGAGCTCAAATAGGTGGAACGTGATGCCTAGTCCTAATTGTCACAAATCGCGCAAGTGTTAGATTACAGAAACCCCCCAGGGTTGCTGCGGTTGTCGCGCTAAACAAAACACAAACCTGCCAATGTGTACTTTGATCATTATTACCTGATGCCTTTTTTTTGTTTTCCCATGCATCATTGCATATGCTCTCTGATGTTCACCGCCCCTGACGTTTCTGTTGCGAGTTTTAATGGAGCCTGTGTAGTCACTCGCTAGACTGTGGCAGTGGATCGTGCAATAGAATTAAAACGATGATGATCGTCGTCGTTTGTATCGCAAACAAGCGCATCATGGTTTTGATTATTTACCTCCATAACCTGCACAGACTACTATTATTATTATGGTACTGGCGAGAGGAGGTATGCAAATGAATCGATTTGGTGTTTGTTCGAATCACATCTGCTTAAAGTTTAGTTTTTTTTTTTTCGTTTGCGTAAATGCTCAATAAGTGGAAGGTAACGAGGAAGTAATTTGGGCAATCTGCTTGTTTTGACTCGCGGATTGTGGAGAAGATATATCGGATAAAAATTGATCATATGATTTAGGCATAGATTGAATGACATTTCAAGAATGTCAGGTCAACTACCTTTTACTCGATTCTGCCTAACTAAATATTCTCCCAAACTCGATGAATTCTTGAGAGTTAGTTTAGATGACTAAACAGGAAGCTTTGGGAAGTCAAGTCAAGTCAGTAATGTAAATGGACCTGGGATAAAACTCACAATCATATGCTCAGTAAACAAACACGGTCACCACTAGGCCACCGAACCCCTTATATCACAGCAAACCACGCGACCAACGATCGTTGAAGCCCGGGGACACAATCAACTATGATTTTGAATCCGAATCGATGACTGCCAAACCGATGATCCATTTCAAGAGTTACCCGTCTTGTTGGTTACTGAGGTATTGACTTAAAAGTTGAAAAAATGTGAGACCAGTGTTAGGAAAATATAAAAAAAAAATCTCACCAACGCCCAAGATCACGTTTGATTGTCGAAGACCAAAATCAAATAGGAAGCAACTGCGGATGATATTACAAGCTGTGATATCGTTGCTGAAAATATCAAGCAAACAAAACTCACCAGCTACAATTCTAACCAAACCGTGATGAGTTTGAGTTTCATGATTTTGGCTTTACTCCCGAACGTGATCCGAACCAACCGTTTCTGCTTTCAGCAGTAGCTTCGTATCAGCCATCGGTGAAGAGTAAGGAGAGATAACAAACTATACTTTCTCTTTCTAAGAAAATGATAAGCAATCATTTACATGTTGTCAATAGTCTCGCAACATCAAAGGAGCTTGTAAGCTTGATATTTTGCTTCAATGAAAGCGGAAAACTATAATTTGATTGATGATTTTGCCAACACTGTGTGAGATGCACCAAAATACAAAAAAAAACTGCGCTTGTTGCTGAGAACTTATTTTCTATGGATCAAAATCAACAGCTAAAATTGCTATAATTAAAAACTAATATGAAATTAAAACCACCAAGTGTGAGATCTGGAAATTTTGCCCCAATAGAAAAAAATAAAATGCATCCTAAAAAATCAATAATTGACGCATAAAGAAAAGGCAGAAAAGAAGAAATTTTATAACTTTTTAAGGGAAACATTTTATCTTTCTTATCGATAAATTCTCTTGTTTTAAGGAGAATATTTTGAGTTTGTCGTGGCTTCAATTTTTTTATGTTGAGCATTTCAACTTAAGTATTGGCACATCTGTCTGATTTTTTTAGTTTTTGAAATTTTCTTGAAATCATATTTTAAGTCATTATTTAAGTGATTCTTACTAAATCAAATTTAAAGTCACTTCTCAGGTTGTATTCGGAACATGTCCAGGTGTCCAGGTTCTATTTTGAAACTGGCCACCGTGGTAGTCTGGACACTCGATATGTCCCATTTCGTCCAGGATCTTGGTTTTGAATTCTGATGTAATTTGTCGTGTCGCATGATGGAATTCTGGAGTGATTCTCTAGAATAGGGATTCCGAAAAATTTGAAGTGGAATTTTGGATAATTTCAAAAGGAATTTCAAAGAATCTACCAAGATGGACTACGGCAAGGGGATATATTTGAAAATATCATCAAAATATCAAGGAAATTATGTAAGTATTCTAATTAAAAAAATCTAATACAAAAAAACATGGAGCTTTTTGTGCTGAACAATGTTTGTTCTACTGATGCTAAGTCAAGAAAATTAAAATATCCAAACATTTCGATACCTTAAGACAAAAAGTCCTGCCCACTGCATTTCGGTCAGGAGGAATTCTGGTTAATCTCTGGAAGGATTCCGGTGAACTTCAGGAAGGATTCCGGTGAATCTCAAGAGGAATTCTGGTGAATCTTAGGAGGGATTCTGGTGAATCTCAGGAGGGATTCCGGTGAATCGCAGGAAGAATTCCGATGAATCTCAGGGGAGGAATTCCAGTGAATCTCAGGAGGGATTCTGGTTAATCTCTGGAAGGATTCCGGTGAATTTTAGGAAGGATTCTGATGAATCTTAGGAGTGATTCCGGTGAATCTCAGGAGGGATTCCGACGAATCTTAGGAGGGTTCCGGTGAATCTCAAGAGGAATTCAGGTGAATCTTAGGAGGGATTCCGGTGAATCTCAGGAGGGATTCCGATGAATCTCAGGAGGGATTCCGATGAATCTCAGGAGGAATTCCAGTGGATCTCAGGAGGGATTCCAGTGAATCTCAGGAGGGTCTCCGGTGAATCTCAAGAAGGATTCCGGTGAATCTCAGGAAGGATCCAAGTAAATCTCAGGAGGGATTCCAGTGAATGAATCTCAGGGGAGGAATTCCAGTGAATCTCAGAAGGGATTCAGGTTAATCTCTGGAAGGATTCCGGTGAATTTTAGGAAGGATTCTGGTGAATCTTAGGAGGGACTCCAGTGAATCTCTGGAAGGATTCCGGTGCATCTCAGGAAGGATTCCGGTGAAACTCAGGAAGAATTCCGATGAATCTCAGGGGAGGAATTCCAGTGAATCTCAGGAGGGATTCTGGTTAATCTCTGGAAGGATTCCGGTGAATTTTAGGAAGGATTCTGGTGAATCTCAGGAGGGATTCCAATGAATCTCAGGAGGAATTCCAGTGGATCTCAGGAGGGATTTCAGTGAATCTCAGGAGGAATTCCGGTGAACCTCAGGAAGGATTCCGGTGAATCTCAAGAGGAATTCCGGTGAATCTCAGGAAGGATTCAAATGAATCTCAGGAGGGATTCCAGTGTATCTGAGGTTCTCTTCCAACCGTGTGCATTTCTCCAGCAGTCCCTTCTTAGCACCCCACACATTTTTCATAACCAGCTTATGCTGTCGATCGAGTTCCTCGATGTTCTCGTTCAACTCTCGGTTTTCGTTACTAACCTGCGTGAGTTTATCGTTGAGCAGTGTATTTTCCAGCTGCTGCTTCTTCTGCTGATGCCGGATGTTCCTCAACTGTCGGTGTAACCGTTCGATGATTTCCCCCTTGGTGAATCTCAGGAGGGATTCCGGTGAATCTTAGGAGGGATTCTGGCGAATCTTAGGAGGGATTCCGGTGAATCTCAGGAGGGATTCCGGTGAATCTCAGGAGGGATTCCGGTGAATCTCAGAAAGGGTTTCCGGTGAATCGCAGGAGGGATTCCGGTGAATCTCAGGAGAGATTCAGGTGAGTCTCAGGAGGGATTCCGGTGAATATCAGAAGGGATTCCAGTGAATATCAGGAGGAATTAAGGTGAATCTCAAGAGGGATTC